AATTTTTATGTCACATTAATGAGTATTTTAAAGTACTTTTTCAATTAATTTTGTTAGTTGCACAATATAAATATGATTGTCACTTTATGTCACATTTAGTGTTAAAATTGAAAGTCCACTATGCTGTTTTTCACATGTGGTATATGTGATCTACATAATTTAAGTGGAATTTATTGAATAAAACCTTACACAAGCACCTGTTAGTTTCAAAAAATTTTCAGCAAGATTTTGACAAATGGAATAATATTGAGGGAAAAGAATTACAAATCCCAGAGTAAGCAATATCAATTAATACAAGAATTGCAAACCATCTTTGAACAAACCATTTGAATGGATACCTTATTATAGACTTACAGACCTTGAATATCTTGCAGGTGGTGATTTGATATTGTGTATAAAGCAAAATAGTTTGATGGACATATTCAGTATTGGGATATTGGGATGCTGGATACTGGTTTAATAATTAGAGAAGATGTTGTTATGAAATGATAATGCTGCCTTTAAAGATTCTTAACAAAATAATACAAGGTAAATGATAATTTATTCATCCATTATATTATATATAATTTAAAAAAATTAATATTGGATAAGAATAGAGGATTTACTATTTAAAAGTTTAGTATACAATTTATTACAAGTCATGAAATTTTTTTTAATTATTATATGGGGGAGGTAGAGGTACAGGACATACTAAAGAAAAAATCCACTCACTATATACAAACAAATTACCATTTTCCACAGACCCACTATAATAATTTTATTCAAGAAGAAATTGGATGCAGGAATAATTAAAGAACCAGCATGTAGTTGGGCTTCACCCATTGTGGTAGTAAAGAAGAAGAATAGCATGTGTGGATTACAGGAAGTTAAATGGTTACACTGAACAAGTCAAATATCCCTATCTTTAATTTCTGATATCTTTGACTCATTAGAAAGAGCTAGGTGGTTTACATCACTAGATTTAGCTAGTGGTTATTGGCAAATAGAAGTAGCTGAAGAAGACAGGAAGAAAACAGCTGTTATTTCTAAAATGGATTATATGGGGCATACTGCAACAAAATCAGACAAAGATTTCAGGGATCAAAATTTAATTATTATCATCACAATTAGTTTTATAATGTCCTATTTGTTAAGTGATATATATAAAAATAGTTAATATGAAATTAATTTACATCAGATCTACTATGGAACCCAAAAATTATAGCACCATCAAAAAGTATTTTGAAGAAAGGACAAGGAGAAAAATTTGCTCCTTATATTTTCAAAATAAATGATACTCAGACACTGGAAACTTATCTAAGAAAAGAAAAGATTACTTATGAAATTTACCAAGAAGTAAGGAAAATAATAAAAAGAAAGCAGAATAAAGGAACAGGAAAGACCGTTCTGGGAACACAAAATTAACAGGAAGGGAACACAAAATTTTAACCCATGCCATTTGTTGATTGACCAATTAAAATCGCGAATTTGATAAACGTAGAAACAAATATGGGTTTGATTCATTTTGTCAACAATCACTTCACCAACAATTGTTTTGTTAAAGACTTTAAGAAGTTAGAAGCAACCATTGAAATAGTCTAATAAATTAAATTGTACTACTCGAAAATGTATTTAAAAGGTTGGTTTTTGACTTGGTCAAAGAATAA